ATATTATAAATAGCCAGAAATCCAAACCAATTTATTCTGTTCGGAATCATGAAACTGTTACCAGGCTGGAAGAGGAAGGCAGTAGAGACTGGAGGAGGTTCAAGGCAGGGGTGGGTGTGCTCACGGAGTTTGCTTGTTTATTATTTATAGTTATAGGAATCTCACTCTGTGGCCCAGGCTGGAGGGAAGTGATGAGAAAAAGCTCACTGTTGTCTCCAATTCCTGGGCCCAAGCAATCTTCTTCCCTCAGCCTCCTAAGTAGCTGGATGTACGAACACACACCACCACGCATGGCTAATTTTCAAAAAAATAAATTTAGAGACAGGATCTTGCTGTGTTACCCAGGCTGGTCTCTAACTCTCAGCCTCAAGCAAGTCTTCCCAGGGTTGAGTTACTGAGATTATAGGGATGAGCTGCCACACCCAGCTCTGGGGGGATTTTAATGCACTGTTTCTTGACTTAGATGCTGGTTGCATGAGCTTGCTTAATTTTTGAAAATTCAGACATGTACACACATTCTTATGATATATAAACTTCTCTGTATGTATATTATGTGTCAGTAAAAAGATGAAAGAAAAAACATCGACATTAAAGAGTTAACTTACAAAAGAATAGCAACTGGTCTCACAACTGACTTCTCAAGAGCCAAAGTGGAACCCAGAGAACAGAACAATGTTATCCTCATTTTGTTGACAAAAAAATAACTGTCACAACTGCCAACCTAAAATTCCATTTACAGCAAAAATATCTTTCCTTGGCTTGGCGCCTATAGCTCAGCAGTTAGGGTGCCAGTCATATATACTAGAGCTGGTGGGTTTGACCCCAACCCGGGCCTGCCAAACAACAACAACAACTACAACAACAACAACAAAAATAGCCGGGTGTTGTGGTGGGCACCTGTAGACTCAGCTACTTGGGAGGCTGAGGCAAGAGAATCACTTAAGCCCAAGAGTTTGAGGCTGCTGTGAGCTGTGATACCCCAGTACTCTACTGAGGGTGACATAGTGAGACTCTGTCTCAAAAAAAAAAAAAAATCTCTCCAGCATAACAGTAAAATAAAAACATTTTCACACAAACTAAAATTGAAATATTTTGCCCACAGTAGATCCTCACAAAAGGAAATCTTAAATAATGTACTTCAAGAAGAAGGAAGACATCCTGAAATCATACAATCAGGCTAAGTATAATGAGACAAAAACTTACTTTGTGCATAAATGATTCATACTGTTTTTCTAGAACTGTAACTTAATCTTGATCAAGAAACAACACATATTTTTTCAATTTAATATACGCATTCATTTACCTTTAGTAACTTGATTTCCCGCATTGCAATTTTTTTAACCATTTTGTCATCATCACTTTCTAAGAACTTCTTGATGGCCACAATTCTTCCACTATCTTTATTCCTACACTTCATCACCATTCCATAACTTCCTTCTCCAACCAATCCCAGGTTCTCATATTTTTCCATTTTAATTTACAACCAGTAGGAACTTTTTTTTTGCTGTGGAAACCAACACATAGAGTTAACAATGTTGAGTATATTAATTTTCTCCATCTTCGCAACAAGTTAATTCTTCCCTGATTGTTTTCCATATTAGAGTAGTCACTGTGTTCATGGTTGTCCTGTGTTAACTCATGATTTCTTAGTGTTTCTGCACTTGAGCTGCATTTTCAAAATACATACATTTTATAACAGACAAGGTGAATGAAATTGAAGCCATTAAGTTTTAAATTACTAAATGTCATGCTAATGGAATTAAATACATTTTTAATATCAATAAAGTAACGCAATTGAACTATCGTACCTAAAAATTACAATTCATTTTTACACAGATGTGAAAAAGGTACAACTGAATTTGGTTTTAATGAAGAACAATTTTTTTCACACCAGGTTAGAGATCAAAGTTGGAAATATTTATACACTTTCTATACAGTTTGGAAAAATATATAATTAGAAAATGATCACTTACCAAATTCATATTAAGAATCTTTGAGAAAATATTTTTCTTTACTTTTATTACCATACTAATTACTATATTGAACTTACAAAATAAGAGCAATGACATCAATATAGAAGCAGATCTTTTAAATGAAATATTAGTACTACCAGATATAGTAAAAGTATTTTTAAAATCCTACTAATGGGCTCGGTGCCCCATAGCACAGTGGTTATGGCACCAGCCACATAGAGGCTGGCAGGTTTGAACCCAGCCCGGGTCAGCTAAACGACAATGACAACTTCAACAAAAAATAGCCAGTGTTGTGATGGGCACCTGTAGTCCCAGCTACTTGGGAGGCTGAGGCAAGAGATTCACTTAAGCTCAAGAGTTTGAAGTTGCTGTGAGCTGTGACCCCACCACACTCTGCCAAGAGCAACATAGTAAGACTGTCTTTAAAAAAAAATTCTGTTAATGATCACTCATTATAAGTGTGTTAATTTGAAATTTATGTTCAGAATCTCCTTACTTTTTTTTTACATTTATATGACATTTTCTGAATAAAGGCAATCCTAATACAATCTTTCTTGCTCTACCAATGATTGATGAAGGTCCAGCAATCATTATACAATATGTTTTGGTATAGAAAAGAATTTCAGTCCAGATACAAATAGATTTCAATTCATAAGCCTTCATTGCCTTGATATATTAAAGGTAATAAATTAAAACTACAAATCTACTTTTATTTTAAAAATCTGAATTTGAAATTAGATTTTGGCAGCCAATAGTGAAAAACATTCCTCTAAATCCCAGTTCCAAAGGTTTTGGGAGAAAAAAAGTCTTTTAATAACTATATGTCCAAATGATGATTCTTTTTTTTTTTTTTTTTTT